TCATTTGAATACCCGGACATTGGTGCTATTCCAAAGACCCCCCTTCAACGTTTTATAAATCAACCAAATATTGGGGAAAGAGAACTAAACAAATCTTCATCTGATAGAGCTCCATCGGAAAATGGATCTGAAAGTGACACAAGCATAAGTAATGACATGGACAAACCAACTCTATCCAAAGAACTGCTGTCTGTTATTAAAAAGCAAAATGACATCACAAGTCTTCTAATGTCACAGCAACAACAATCTTCACTACCCTCCAGACAAATACAAGTATTTGATGGCAATCCATTACAGTATCAGACATTTGTGAGAGCATTTAAATATGGAATCGAGAGTAAAACGGACAATGAGGATGATAGACTCTATTACTTGGAGCAGTACACAAGTGGTCAAGCCAGAGAGCTTGTAAGGAGCTGCTTTCACATGGATGCAAGTATAGGCTACAAAGAGGCAAAAAGACTGTTAAAAACACATTTTGGAAATGAATTCAAACTTGCAAGTGCATATATTGAAAGGGCTCTCAATTGGAACAACATAAAGCCAGAAGATGGAAATGCACTGCATGCATATGCCTTTATTTAAGAGGATGTCTCAACACAATGAAACAATTAAAATCCATGCAAGAATTAAATCTACCATCTAATCTAAAACTGGTGTTGTCTAAACTGCCCTATAAACTCAAAGAAAGATGGAGAACAGTGGCACATGAACTTCTGGAAACAAATAAAACACCAGCACGAGTTTCCGACCTTGTAGCATTCATTGAAAAACAGTCTAATATTCTACAAGATCCTCTCTTTGGTGAAATCCAGGATGTTTCTAGAAAAACATACTCCAAGCCCACAGTAACGGTAGAATCCAGAGCTCATCAGCCACAGAAGAATAAGAGCAGCAGTTTTGTCACAACTGTTAATGACTATAAAACTGTGTGTTGTATTTGTGGTAAAACAAATCATTCTCTGGATCAGTGTAAAAAGTTAAAAGCACAGACACATGATGTTGAAGTGCATCTGCTTAAAACAAATGGCATCTGCTTTGGCTGCTTGAACAAAGGACATATGAGCAAAGCATGTAAAAGAAGGATGACATGTGAGTACTGTCAAGCTAAACATCCAAGTGTGTTGCATATACACAACTCAGTGGACAATTCAAATATGAAACGAAAACAATCAGTGAGTGGCACATTACTTTCAATGGAGAAGAAAAACAGTTGTGATACTGGGGCTGGAAGTGACTGTAAATTATCAATTGTGCCGGTCCAGCTAAAAGCAGCAAAAGGTGACAAAACAATCTTTACCTATTCCTTCCTAGACCCAGGAAGCACAGCCACATTCTGCACAGAGAACATAATGCGTCAACTGAATGTCAATGGAAAAAGGACACAAGTTTTGCTGCAAACAATGGGACAAAGAAAACCAGTAAACAGTTACGAAATTAATGGTTTACAAGTTGGTGATGTGAGTGGCAATAACTTTATTGAACTGGAAAAAACGTACACTCAATGGAAAATCCCAGTGACAAGAGCAAACATATTGACACAAACTGACATTCACAAATGGCCGTATCTAAAAGAAGTAAGAATCAAAGAAATTGATGCGGATGTGGAACTCCTTATAGGAGTAGATGTTCCAAAGGCAATGGAACCCTGGCAGATTATAAATAGTCAGGGTAATGGCCCCTATGCTGTCAGAACTTTACTTGGATGGGTGGTGAATGGACCGCTCAATTCTGCAGCTGTGGACGGACATGGCAGACCTGTGGCATCAGTAAACCGCATTTCAATTGATAATATAGAGACTATGCTAAAACAACAATACAGCCATGACTTTCCTGAAAAAGAATATGAGGAAAGACCCCAAATGTCAGTTGAGGACACAAAGTTTATGAATATGATGTCACAAGAGGCAACATTAAAATACAATCACTATTACTTACCATTGCCGCTTAAAAACAGAGACATTGTTATGCCAAATAATTATCACCTTGCTGAACAAAGAGCTTATTATCTTGCCAAAAGGTTCCAAAACAATGTAAGCTTTGCGGAGGAGTACAAGGCATTAATGAAAGACATTTTAAATAAAGACTATGCCGAAAAGGTGCCATCTAAGGATCTTCATATAAAAAATGGCAAAGTATGGTACATACCCCACCATGGTGTGTACCACAAACGCAAAAAGACCCTTAGAGTAGTATTTGATTGTACCTCCTCGTACCAGGGCATCTCACTTAACAAGGAGCTGCTACAGGGTCCTGATCTGACCAACTCACTGCTCGGGGTGCTGCTCAGGTTCCGCCAAGAACACATTGCTATAATGGCAGATATTGAAGGAATGTTTCACCAGGTTAGAGTTAATGAAGAAGATTCTGACCTGCTGAGATTTTTGTGGTGGCCAAATGGAGATGTTAGCCAGCCACTGCAGCAATACCGAATGAAAGTCCATTTATTCGGAGCCATATCCTCGCCAAGCTGTGCAAACTTTGCCTTAACCCTTTAGGCGCCAGAGTTTTTTCAAGAAAATGTACAATTTTGATTTCAAGATTTCAAAAGGCTATAACTTTAAAATGGTTTGAGATAAAGGCATACTGTAAATTAGAAATATCTTCAGTCTGAACCAAACTTTGGGATGGAAGTTGATTCGTCATCTAATTTGCATATTCTGACGTCATCAAGGTGGCGGCCATTTTGGAAAATGTTAATTATTGTATAAAGACTTCAAAAAGCTGTAGCTTGGGAGTTATTTGAGATCAGGGAATACTATAAACAGTAAATGTGAAATATATCTTTAGTATGAAATGAATTTGGGATAGAAATAAATTCCCTGATCCAGATTATACATAATGTTTTAGCACTGGTTCGCAGCCATATGGAATTTTATTATTTTCAAAGACCTTCAGTGATCAAGACTGCACTCTTTATAGTTTACAGTCATGAAATCTGGAGATTGGTTTCAATATTTCCCTTTCTAAGAAGTAGTGGCCATACTATTTTTCTCAGTGGAAATGCGGCTCCAGGATTTATCGTGTAGAAACAGAGATGAAATGAATGGGCACAGAACATGTCAGATCGTCTCAACAATAAACAACAGGTTTTTCAACACTTCTGATCCACTTTTGTGGATTATTTTCTCTCAAGAACTGCCTTCATCCGCATCATCGCTGTTGGTAAAGGCAGTGAACGCGATAAGCGATGTGCTTTTTCCCGCGACTCCCCCGCGACTTCTCCCGCGTTTCCCGTGTTCCCCGTGGATGTCTACCCCGGCTACTTTCTCCCACATGCCCGGTGTTATGATGCCCCTGTCCCCTCCACCACGGCCCCTGCTTGGCGTTCACAGAATGCTTCCACCGCGGCCACACGGAGGACAAGCAGCCGCTGTACAGGGGCTGATTGTGGACTATGGAGCGCGGTCTCCCTGTCACCAATAATGTCTGCTTCACTGGACACCTGTGTGTCTTCCTCCTCTGAATCTGAGTGAGCCAGTACCAGACCAAGTACTTCTCTGGTACTGAAGACCTTGTGAGTAAAATAAAAAACACTCTCTCCCTCTGCTCTGCTCTCGCTCCTCTCAGCTCTACCGCTGCTGCTTCGCCTCCGCGCTGCAGGTGTTTTACAAACTCAATTTACTCAAAAACTTTCAATATAACCACACCCACAAATGCTGCTCATATTACAGGCACACATGTCCACTAACCCCTGGTGAAAAGTATTAACAAGATTCTGCACCACATTTTTAGATACAGCCTGTTTAAGTGAGCAATGTTGCTTGTCGCAATATTGCGACTTTGGCGCTTAAAGGGTTAAAAAAGACAGCAAATGATAATAAATCAAGTTTCACTACAGAAGCCATTGATACAGTCAAGTATAATCTGTACGTTGATGATTGTCTGAAATCTGTTTCCACAGAGAAAGCTGCCATCCATCTAGTTGAGGAACTGAGCGAGCTATGTGCAAAAGGTGGATTCAAGATGACTAAATGGGTCAGTAATAGTCGCTCTGTTTTGTCTACAATTCCAGAGGAAAACAGAGCTAAACAAATCAAAGAACTTGACTTGGACAGAGACAAATTACCAGTGGAAAGAGCTCTCGGTCTGACTTGGAATATTGAAAATGATACATTTGGTTTCCAAGTATCTGTTAAAACAAGATCACTCACCAGAAGAGCTGTTCTATCTACTGTAAGTTCTGTCTATGATCCCTTGGGCCTAGTAGCACCATTTGTGCTAAAAGCAAAACTTATTCTGCAAAACCTCTGTCAAATAAAATGTGAGTGGGATACAATTATTCCCATTGAATTATCACAACGTTATGAAAAATGGCTGTTTGAACTGGAAAAACTCAAAGACAATAAATGGCGTGTAAAACGGCATGTGGACAACAAGTGGCGTTTAAAACGGCATGTGGGGAATAAATGGCGTGTAAAGCGGCATGTGGACAACAAGTGGCGTTTAAAACGGCATGTGGGGAATAAATGGCGTGTAAAGCGGCATGTGGGCAATAAATGGGGTTTAAAACGGCATGTGGACAACAAGTGGCGTTTAAAACGGCATGAACTACATTGTTTTTTGTCATGTAGACGCTTAGCACTTCAAGTTGTTTTGCTCATTTCTTTGAAGCGTCTCTGCAGTGTCTCCTTCTAACAGCAGCCTTAGACTGCTGCCCCCGCAACCCGGCAATGGATGAAACAGAAGAAAATGGATGGATGGATGAAGGTATGATAACTTGACAATGTCCTCTCCTCTTTCCTTTTCTCCTACTTACCTACTCTATCCAACATCATTATGACTTCAGGTCGTGGTGCTAATCTGACTGCCATGGCCTTTTGGTCACATAATGGCAGTCAGATTAGAACCATTTATTTGAACAGCACTTTGTATAGATAATCATCATAAAGAGCTTGCATTACAATCACTTTTGAACCAATACAAATACAATCTGATTACAAGGCCTTTTGAATGTAATTTTCCCTGACCGTACAAAGCCTGTATCAGACCAAACAGACCTGAAAGTGGAAGATACCGGCATAGTTGTGGCTGAAGCTCTGGTCTGGAGGGATGACTCGATAAAGCAGCTTCTCGTTCATAGTGAGGCAGGCGATGGCAGCGAGCAGCCAGCAGTCCCCTGAGGACACATAAGAAAGACATTTTAAAAAGCAGAAGTTAACTTTAGGTGCGCATACCTAACATACATAACTTAATGTAATGTTCCTGACACAACACAGTTTTTGGTTCTAAATTTTCAAAGTTAAACACTGAACTTCAGAGCTGTTTCTTTCAAGTGTGCAAAAGCATAAAGTGTTTTCAAATAATGAAAGAAGAAGAAGACAGCAACATTTTACCTTTGCAAGACTCTTTCTATTGGGACAAACATAATATTTATGAAAGAAAAAAAGCTATAATTATAGAAACTTTGGCCATTTCAGCGTCCAAAAATATAGTTTTCGTGCTCATCGTTTCACCTCATATTTCTTCTTTGAATTAATCACAACAAAGGCCTCACACCGCAACATCAAGTCTATGGTTGTAGCTGTTGTGGAAACATTTGACTTGCGGCTATAGCATGGCCAAAGAACAAACTTCTGTGTTTTATTTCCTGGTCAGCGCGCACTCTTGTGGTGTTGATCTGACTGCTGACTGGTTTCTCTCTCAAGAGTTCTCCTTCTCACACCCCACTGCTGTCGGCCTCACAGGGCTCATGGTTGGCTGATGGTTGGTAATATGTTTTTTTTTTTAAATGGTATAAAGGAGGATCTTCTATTGGTCCTCCTAGTTGTCAATCATTCTGGTGATACTTTTAACCCTCTAGGCGCCACGGTCGACTTAAATGGACAAGCTGCGGTACTGTTTAAAACGGCCGAGTGTATCAAACTGAGTGTCAAAATTCATTCATACTCCCTGCCACTAGTTGGCAGACATGTCAGACCTGGCCCCAAAAAACGCCATGCTCCCATACAAAATATTCGAGCAAGACCGCATTGAATAAGTGCGGAAATCATAGCGAAGCAAGTGCAGCTGGGAGGCAGCATGCGAGTTTTATACTGCATTAAACACAACTTTAGACACTTTACACAGAGTCAGTGGTGAGAACAGTGTTTCTCAGGGTCAGGGCTGTCATTGGGAGGTTCGAAGACAGGTTAGATTTAAGGGGGAACAAGCCTGGAACTCGCGTTGGGGCACCTCCGCTAAAGTCTCCGCTAATAGTGTTTCCCACATATGTATTTTCATGCCTCCAGTAATCACCGAGAAAGTAACATGTTGGAGAAGCCTTGTCTTGTGTGTTTTAGACGAGAGAGAGAGCAGGGGAGACCGCAGCAGCAGGAGGGTCGCGGTGACGTGCTTCACCTGGAGGCGCCATGATTTGTATTTTTTACTATTTCCCTGAACATTTACAATGTTACAGTGTGTGCTCTGTGTGTGTGTTCATGTCCTAGTGATCAATATATATCTGTCAGTTATAAATGTTAGTATTAGATAGCAATATGGCCTACGTGCAGGACTGTACAAGGACTCTACAAGGACTCCATGTTATGACTATGATTTGACTGTCTCTTTGTGACACGTATGTCTTTCCATGTGTGACGTGACAATGACTATATAAACTGTGTACTGCCTTTATTCTGTCTGAGAGAAAGAAACAAGGTAAACCATTGGAACTTGAGTGAAACTTAAATAAACTTCCAGAGTTTGGCGCACCACAATCCATCTCTGTCTGCTAAATCCTAACAGATTTGGTGGAGAATGCGCGGCTCAGTGTGTGCCATTCTCTGGATTGTTTTGAGGGAGTTTTCCTTGTTTTCTTTTTCTCGGCGTGGGAGAGCTGAGAGTATCTGGGGCCTGGGAGCGGTCCAGCAGGCTGGAGAGGCGACCGGCTCCGGGACTTTTTGCTCTCTCACTATATTTTTTTTGTGTCCTGTTTTTTGGACTGAGCGTTTAAAATTGTTTTCCCATGTCCACATTCCGGGGATTTTTGACGTGCGATTGGTCTCTGCCGATGGAAACTAGTTCCCAGTACTAGTGAGCGCTGGTTCATGATCTGGAGACCCGGTTGGACGTGGAAAAGCTGATATTTGGTGGACTTCTGACGGTGCCTGGGCCCTGTTCGACAAAAGGTAAGAGCGGACACCTGTTTATTCAAAGTCTGCTAATTGAGTGAACTAAATTATGGTCTGTTTTGAGGTCCACCAAATGTCGTATATCTATATAGATCGGATTAGGTAAGATTCAGGTCCGCCACCTCGATAAAATGGCAGTGTAATTGATCATCAGGTCCGCCACCTCGATAAAATGGCAGTGTAAATGATCATCAGGTAAGCCACCTCGATAAAATGGCAGTGTAATTGATCATCAGGTCCGCCACCTCGATAAAATGGCAGTTTAAATGATCATCAGGTAAGCCACCTCGATAAAATGGCAGTGTAATTGATCATCAGGTCCGCCACCTTGATAAAATGGCAGTTTAAATGGTCAAAACAGGTTGCTACCTCGACAAAATAGCAGTTACGGCCAGAATAGTTAGTGAAACCATGGTGTAAACATAAAAGCAATAAAAAGGGAAATGTGTTAAAGAGGCCTTTGTTACAAAAGCTTTGAAATTGACGAATTTCAGGCTGATAAATGACAAAAGTACATAAACAACAATATTTCAGTGATCACGGTTTAAATTACATACAGAAAAAGGGAGTGTTTTGTTTTTTAGTTTGCTTTCGGCGTGAACAGAGTTCACCGGAGAATGCAGAGTTTTATCTAAAGTTGAGCTATGAGAGATTTCGTGAGTTATTTACATATTTTGCCGAGTTTTATCTACAGTTAAGCTATGAGAGGGTTGTATCCAACAGTTGTTTTTGTTTTCTAGAAAGAGATTTTGAGTTTAAACTAGTTTGCTACCTTAATAAAATAGAAGCGTAAGGGACATTAAAGTGTGAAAAGTGATCACTTCTAGACTTGGATGACAAAAGTATAAACTACAAGTTATATTCGCTTAACAAAGTAATCTTGAAAGTTATTCTTCTTTCTGTTTTTGCATTTTTGCTAAAACACTACTTTCTGCCTGTGTGTGTGTCCGCCGCTCTATCTTGCTGCCGTTGTCAGGGAAACGGCCCCCTCCTTCGCTGCTCTGGCTCTGAATCAAAACAAACCTACTGCTTTAGGATTTTTGGCTTTTCATAGTTGTTATTCCGTTAAATTTGCGAAATTTGCAATTGAACATTGTGTTATGACACAGTTAAACATTTTTAAACACCATTAGGGAATAGAAGTTCTGAATTAGTATGTTTTTGAAATACAAAGATTAGTGCTAAAGCTGTGCAATTCTTTTTAGACCTAACATATTTCTAGATTCCATTCTTTTAAATCTGCTGCTTATTTCTTAACTTTTTGTGAGTTGTGTTTGTTTTTAATGTTTTTATTTGAGTTACAAAAGCCGGTTTTCAAACATTTAAATTAGAATCTGTGTTAAAAGTGATTATTGATTATAGACTTTGTCTAAAAAGAAAAGAGGAAATTAGGATTAGCTGTAAAAGTATTATTAAGTTGAACTGTACCCAATTCACCCAATTCACATTCAAATGGTGACTTTTGTTTTTGTTTTGACTACACGCGTGACCTTGCTCCTGCTCCTGCTGCCCAGAGACAGGAGGAGGCAGCTCCGACGCACAATTGAGTTTTATTTATTGAACCAAATCCAGTTTAGCTGGAGCTAAATCTTTTGTTTGATTTCAGGTTATGTTTTAATGTTTTCCAAAATAATTTCATTTCATGGCGTCTTTCAAGAAACCCAAGGACGCATAGATAATTAAACACAGTACAAAAGTACATAATACATATTTTAAAGTTTGAAGATTTTTGAGATTTGAGTCTTGTTTTTTATATTAAGAGTTTCTGGTTTTAAAAAGTTTCACAGTAGTAAGATAATAAGTAATCTATATTTACATAGCGCATGTTGAAAAACCTGCGCTAGCTCCCCCCTGGACTGCCACCTTAACGTGGTGGGGGAGTTTGAGTACTCGGATGATCCTGGGAGCTATGCTGTCTGGGGCTTCATGCCCCTGGTAGGGCCTCCCATGGCAGACAGGTCTCGGGTGACGAGTCAGACAAAGAGCAGTCCAGAAGACACCATGGACAGCACTCATACGAAACCAGTGACGTCGCCCGGCATGGCGCAGCCGGGGCCCCACCCTGGAGCCAGGCCTGGGGTCGGGGCTCGTAGGCGAGCGCCTGGTGGCCGGGCCTTAGCCCACGGGGCCCGGCCGGGCTCAGCCCGAATGGACGACGTGGGCAGTCCCTCCTGTGGGCCCACCACCTGCAGAGGGGTCCGTGGTGGCATGGTGCAGAGAGGACTGGGCAGCAGTCGAAGGCGGAGACCTCGACGACCCAGTCCGCACACACAACAGCTGGCTCTCGGGACGTGGAACGTCACCTCACTGGGGGGGAAGGAGCCCGAGCTTGTGGGGGAGGTTGAGCGGTACCGACTAGAGATAGTCGGCCTCACCTCCACACACAGCTTGGGCTCTGGAACCCAACTCCTTGAGAGGGGTTGGACGCTCCACTTTTCTGGTGTTTCCCGCGGGGAGAGGCGGCGAGCTGGGGTGGCCATTCTCATTGCCCCCCATCTCAGCCGCCACGTGTTGGAGTTCTCCCCGGTGAATGAGAGGGTCGCGTCCCTCCGCCTCCGGGTGGGGGACAAGTCTCTCACTGTTGTGACGGCCTATGGGCCTAACAGCAGTGCAGAGTACCCGGCCTTCTTGGAGTCCTTGGGAGGGGTACTGGACGGTGCACCGCCCGGGGACTCCGTTATTCTCCTGGGGGACTTCAACGCCCATGTGGGAAACGCCAGTGACACTTGGAGAGGGGTGATCGGGAAGAGCGGCCCCCCTGATCTGAACCCGAGCGGTGTTCAGTTGTTGGACTTCTGTGCCAGTCACAGTTTGTCCATCACGAACACCATGTTCGAGCACAAGGGTGTCCACCAGTGCACGTGGCACCAGGACACCCTAGGCCGGAGGTCGATGATCGACTTTGTTGTCGTATCATCTGACCTTCGACCGCGTGTCTCGGACACTCGGGTAAAGAGAGGGGCGGAGCTGTCAACCGATCATCACCTGGTCGTGAGTTGGATCCGCTGGCAGGGGAAGAAGCCGGTCAGACCTGGCAGACCCAAGCGTATAGTGAGGGTCTGCTGGGAACGTCTCGCTGAGCCCCCTGTCAGACGGACTTTCAACTCACACCTCCGGGAGAGTTTCTCCCAGGTCCCGGTGGAGGAGGGGGACATGGAGTCCGAGTGGACCATGTTCTCTGCCTCAATCGCCGATGCGGCGGCCCGTAGCTGTGGTCGCAAGGTCTCTGGTGCTGGTCCCGGCGGCAACCCCCGAACCCGGTGGTGGACACCGGCAGTAAGGGAAGCTGTCAGGCTGAAGAAGGAGTCCTATCGAGCCATGATGGTTCGGGGGACTCCTGAGGCAGCTGTCCAGTACCGGCAGGCCAAGCGTGCCGCGGCCCGGGCTGTTGCAGAGGCAAAAACCCGGGACTGGGAGGAGTTCGGAAAGTCCATGGAGCATGACTATCGGTCGGCCTCAAAGAAATTCTGGCAAACCGTCCGGCGCCTCAGGAGGGGGAAGCAGTTCTTTGCCAACACCATGTACGGTGCGGGTGGAGAGCTGCTGACCTCAACGGGGGATATTGTCGGGCGGTGGAAGGAATAC